TTTGAATTAACCCGCCATAAAGCTTATTGGGGATTACTACAGATGGCGCTGCAGTCGTGTTTTGTCGCCTTATATTTTCTATGAAGTTAGTATTCTTCTCCTTGGAGTAAAAGTGTTCTGTAGAGGTAGGGCTGCCATCCGTCCGGAATTCCCCGGATTTGTCCTAGTTTGAAGGGCGTCCGGGGGCCGTCCGGTAGGGGTTTCTGAAAAGTGTCCGGGTGGAACCCGGACACTTTTGTTGTCAGGGAAAATCCATTTTTTTATAGATAAGCGATATTTCTTATGATCTTTGTTAAAAATTCATTTACAACAACCCGCATTTAAGAAGACGGCTAAATAGTCGACGATCGAACGCCCCCACCTGTGCCCCCGCGCCGCGTGCTCACCCGAGCCGCCACTCACTCACCCAGTCGCACGCATAATAGCAAGTGAAGCGCATGCGTGCTTCGCGCGTTAATACCACTTCGATATTGCAATTTACGTAAGTTTACATATTATTTTGTCACTTTTTTTGAGTACGTATGTTAATATTCTTCAGAATTAAATCGCTTGTCGCGGAAAGTACTTGTATCTACGAGCAACGGATGCCCGCCATAACTGTGTGTATATCTAAGCTTTCTGACTTTTCTTTTATTGCTTTTTAGATCAAAATGCCCAAGCGTAAATGCACGTTCAACAGCGAATTGCAAAGCAAATATCCTATGTTGAAAAGAGGAAAATATGACTGGGAAGTACAGTGCACGATTTGTTCTGCGAATATTTCCATTGCAAATAAAGGTGTTTCCGACATTAAAGAGCACCTTAACACACAAAAACACAAAACTAATTCGAAAAGCCAAGCTAGTAGTTCAAACATCTCGTCATTCTTTGAAAAAACTAGACCTAGCTCAGAAGAAAATGTTATTCGAGCAGCCGAAGGCGCAATGGCTTACCACACAGTCAATCACCACATGTCGTTTAATTCTTTGGATTGTAGCAATTCCCTTAACCAAGTAATGTTTTCGGAGTCAAATACGGCAAAAAACATGACATGTAATCGCACGAAAGCTACAGCTATTGTAAATAACGTGTTATGCCCTTTAACAATTGCTGAACTAAAAAGTGATCTAACAGATGTTGCATTCGTAAGTGTATCCACCGATGCTAGTAATCACGGCAGTACTAAATTATTCCCCATCATCATTCAGTATTTTGATAAACAAAAAAATGGCATCACATCAAAGCTCCTTGAAATCGAGTCTACTGAAAATGAGACATCTGACACAATTGTTGAGATTATTATGAAACAACTTCGGGAGCATGATCTTCTATCGAAGTGTATAGCATTTAGTGGCGACAACTGCAACACAAACTTCGGTGGGAGCACTAGATCCGGGACAAATAATGTCTTCTGCAAACTGAAAAGTAAACTTAATCCAAATATTGTTGGCATGGGATGTTCTGCCCATATACTTCATAACGCTATGCACCATGGATGCGACTTACTTCCTATTGACGTAGAGACGATTATAATGAAAATATACAACTTTTTCTCAATTTATACAGTTCGCACAGAAGCTCTCAAGGGATTCTGTGAAGCTTCTGAATCGGAGTACAAGCAGCTTTTATTTCATTCGAAAACACGATGGCTAAGCCTTTTTCCCGCATTAGAGAGGCTTTTGAAAATGTATGAGTCCTTAAAAAGTTATTTTGAAAGCTTGGACAGACCACCCGTTATAATCAAAAAATTTTTTGAAGATCCACTATCAGAAGCATATATGTTTCTCATTCATTCAGTGATGTACGTTTTCCATGGAAAAATCGAAAAATTGGAGAAAAGTGATAATTCCATTATCGAAACCAGAAACATATTGGTGTCTTTGAATAAAACATTAGAAGACAGAATAAAAGAAAACTTTGTGCCTCTCAAGGCACAAAGTATTTTAAACAAACAAGATGAAAGCACGAAAAACGAGTTCAAAAAGAATTGTACCGATTTTTACAGAGAAATTAATTCTTACATAGAAAAGTGGGAAAAACCAATGAAGGACTTTGACAAATTCAATTGGATAATGTTGCCAAACATCACTGAAAATACTCCATGGTCTGATGTCGAGAAAACAGTATTATTCCTCAAAGATTAACATCGAAATCGATGACACGAAGCTGATTGACGAATGGACAAACTTAAAAACTTATAGCATGAACCTTACTGACGGCGAAAAGCTTTTAAGCGCAAACCAGCTGTGACTGAATTTTTTTCAAACACCTAACGCCCATTTATACTCTGAACTGCTCAAAATCGCACAGTATTATTTTTGTATACCAGCTCACAATGCAAATGTAGAGAGAGTGTTCTCTCTAGTCACGCAGCAATGGACGAAAGAAAGAAACTCGCTAAACATACACACGGTTTCTTCCATGGAGCTAATACAAAGAGGAGATGGCCTAAGCAACTGTGCACTGTGATTCTCAAGTAGGTCCTGACGTCATCAAAGTGGGCGTGGCTTAGGTTAGTATGCTGCCAGCGTTCGTCCGTCTTGGTATTGTGAGGTCCCCGTGATTGACATTAGCATATTTAGTGTAGTTTTGTATTACTAAGAAGAAAACTATGAAGTGTTGCGTTTTATCGTGTAAAAACTACTCGGATAGACGATTTGATGCTATGGATGGCATTACATTTCATGTGTAAGTAATTGTGTACGTAATTTATTAAAAGTTCCAGAACAATTTAAGTAGGCGGCCAAATATAATTAATCCATTTAACACTAGATGGCGGCCAACGGTACATAAACATAGAAGTTAGAAAAGACAGGGTTGTAATTAGATTCCTATAATTTTACCGAGGAACGCTAAGTCTTATAACATAAATTGGAAATACTTAAAAAGTTTTGCTTAACGAAACAGTCATTTTGTTATTAATAAAATAAAACTTACTTTAAATAAAATGTTTTAGTATGTACACAAAAAAGTTATTATAGGTTATTTGATTTTAAATTATGTTGCAGATTTCCATCGGATGATAATCTTAAACAACAATGGATGACAAAAATTAATAGACGAGACTGGAACCCAACAAATATACAAAAATTTGTTCTTGCCATTTTAATGATGAAGACTTTGTCATGTCAAAAAAAGGTCTAAAAAAATTAAAGAAGGAAACTTTACCTTCTTTAAAACTGGATATATCGGTTCGTTACAATGCAATTTGTATTTAAAAAACAATTTTCAGTTTTTTGGAAGAACGTCAAATAATTGCATATATTTCTGGATATGTAGTCAATTATTTACATTCCAAGATCAAATGTGAGAGCTGCCTTCAACAATTATATGCTGATAACTACGAAGATGACGATCTTTATTTGATAAAGACTAAAAATAAAGGTGGTCTTACTTTTCCATCTAAAGATATTATAAATATATGTTTACGAACCGAATGCAACATACGTTATTTCAAATCACAATCTTGGAATAATTCTAATTTACGTAAACATAAAATTGTACTGAATACTTTAAAGTCCCTTATTGGACAAGATTATTTCAAACAATCGAATATACATATGTTTGACCAGTCGCTTACTGATAATCATATTATATTGCTGATGAAATCTATAGCTGAAAAATATATTGATATTCGTTTTAAGCATTTTGCAACCATAGAAAATGATAGGACAACAAACCGACAACAACTGACCAAAACAGTTATTTTTGCAGGTAATTGAATTACCGAAATAGACTTATGTTCATTCATTGAAGGTATGATGTACTAACGAACCAAAGAAGTCATCTTCGTAATTATTTGATTTACAATAGTACAAATCATTATGGATATTTTGATTAAAACCAATAAAGATTTGTTTTAAAATATTTTTTATTTTTTTAGCCCTGTCTTAATATTTTTATTCATTGCTTTAAATGTCATTTGTGTGTCTTAGCTCTTTTCATCACTATAGCGCCGATAGAGCGATAAAACGTTACCCTCGTTTGTGACACGCAGTCGGGTAAAAAGGTCAATCAAAATAGTGTTCAAAAAAATATTTTAATTAAATTCACACCTTGGTACGGAAATTTTGAGTACGTCCCTGAGTATTCTACTCTTGCGACATCTAGTATGAAGTAGCTGAACTAATTAGTAACATCGATATGGAATGAAGCTAGTAATTTTGCTCTTTACCGGTAGATGGAGATTAAAAAAGTGGGTGGGGCATAGGCTCCCCTCATCCCGCAAAATGTCACGCAATTTTATATAGGCAAATCTCATTAGGCCATCTCCTCTTTGTATTAGCTCCATGGTTTCTTCTATGATCAAAGTCAAGTATAATTTCAAGGACCTGAGTTGTTCCGACTTTTACAAATTCTTGTTGGAAAAGAAAGATATTTTGGCGAAAATCGGAAAGACTGAAAAATACCAAAAGAAGTAAAAAAAGATCTCGTTAAAATTAACAGTTTTAGCAATTACTTAAGTTTTAATTAATAATCAACAAATATGATAGGTATTCGGCTACCTAACTAGATGACTGAAAATATCATTGGCATAGTTTATTTTAAAATTATAAAGTATTATAGTTAGTTAGTTAGTTACTAGTAGTATCATATAATAATTTGATTGATACCAAAAAAAAAAGAGTGTTTCTAATTATTTTTTGTTACTATGTTACCTCAGAAAGAGTGGTTAATTTTATTAAAAGTGTCTGTTATTTGTTACTATTACATACGTACTTCATTTGATTTTAATATCAAGCTGTATAAAAGAATAAAAAATAAAAAATTATAATGATGTTTTTATTTTTTTGCGAAAAATACTTTTTCTGAAGTGTCCGGGAAAAATACCATATTTCGCCCAAATGTCCGGGGTTTTTGCCGTGTGTATCCGGCGTCGGCAATTTAGGTGATGGCAGGCCTATGTAGAGGTTATGTCAAAGAGAAAAAGAATACGTGTTTTAAAACTTTATTGCTAGTAGTAATATACTCAACGATATTTTAGATTATTAAACGGTGTCTATATTCTGTTTAGTGAAAATATGGAAAATAATTTAGTTTTCCTTGAATCATATACAGATTTTGTAGATTATGGAGAATCTCGCAAAATTTCGCTTTCGTTGGAATCGTGCATTATATTTTGTATTTATAAATACTGCGCCCCTAAAGGACTTAAACTAAAGCTTGTTGCAACCAAAGAAAGAAAAGATGTTATTGCTATCGAAATTATGGAAAGCGGCTTAGAATTTGCGGACAATGAAAAAATCTCTTGGCAAGTTACCTCTTGTGTTTTTCCGGTAGCTTTGTTGGAAGATACAATTATTACCGGGCTTTGTGCAGTGGCCAGACATATAGCAAAGTACAAAACCGGAGCTCGGAATTCCAATGAACATGAAGAGGGTATATTAGGATTTCGAAAAAGTTGTTTACAAGCTCCCAATGAAGTGTCAATATGGACAAAATTTTGCGAAGTTGATATTATTAAAACTGTTAGAGAAATTCTCATTTGTAATAAATTAAATGAGTTACCTAAACATTTAGTTCGTTTTGAAAACCATCTAAGTAAACCAGTCCGAGTACACAATGTATATAAAATGGCTCGAACAATGAAGAAAAAAAATATAACAAGATTGGAAGAACTGAAGATTATAGAGGAAAAGATTGAAACAGAAAAGAAAGTAAGGTCATCTAAGTCCAGGAAATGGAAATCAAACATTAGAAAAGCTTCACAGATTGACAGCTCAGTAGCAATTGAAGATTTAAATATAAGTCACCAGTTTGCAGAAGGGCCATTTTTTACATTAGCTGATTTGGTGTTACTACCATCTTATAGAATTTTGATACAATTAATAGGGATATCAGTTTTTGGATCTTTGTTACCTTTGACTTTACAATGGTATGAAAGATTAACAAATATTCCTGAAATAAAAGTTATTAATGATATTATAGATAAAATACAGTGTAAACTTGTTTCAATTGATCAAACAGTAATAGTGCCAACAACTGAAGTTGTAAGTCTGTATAAATGTGATCCAACACGACACAATCCAAAAAAAAAGTTGTTTACCAAAGAGGAAGACATAGAAAATGCATTAAGCACTTTAAAGGAAGGCATGATGATTAATGTCATTGCTAATCAACTCAACTCCAAGTGGGATTGGAACAATATCCCAGATGGTGCGAATCCTGCTGCAGGTCACCTGCCTGATGCAAGAATAAATAGAAAATCACAACAACTTGAAAATCTAACATTAGCTGTTTTGAGTGTAGCTAAGGATGGTGATAAAATAGTAGACTTCTGCAGTGGCAGTGGACACTTGGGAATCTTGATTGCATATTTATTACCAAAATGTACTGTTGTGTTACTAGAAAATAAAGAACAGTCGCTTTTGAGAGCTAGGAAGAGAGTCCATGATATGAAATTGAAGAATGTTTTTTTCTTTCAATGTAATTTAGATTTTTTTATTGGTAAATTTGATATTGGTATTGCATTGCATGCATGTGGCATAGCAAGCGATTTAGTTCTGGACAAGTGTTTGAAAACAAAGGCAAAGTTTATTTTATGTCCTTGTTGTTATGGTTCACTTCACTCAACAGACAGACTGATGTACCCACGTAGCCATAAATTCAAAGGTGTCTCTATTAATCAATATTTGTGCATATGCCATGCAGCTGATCAAACACACGATGAGCATCCATTGACCCAGAGGGGAGATTTATGCATGGCCGTGGTAGACTCGGATAGAGCCCGTTTAGCCGAAGAGTTTGGTTACACAGTTACATTATCTCGGCTAAAACCTCTCTCATGTACTCCTAAGAATAACTTACTTATTGGTGTACCATCATAGGATTAATAATACAATAAAGTAATTTATTTGTAACAATTTTAATTAATTAAATATATATATTTTTGTACTGCGAGTTTGAGTGCTTACACTTTAAAAATCTCAACATTTCATAAAAAAAATAGACAGTAAAAACTGAACAAGTCACCTTTATATTCTGGTTTAGATTAAAATAAAACATTTATTATTTATTACAACAGATGGTAAATTTAATCACTACGGGCATACACAATGGCTGTCCTGCATGGGATGTATACCTGTAAAGATTCATTAATTAGTATTTCTTATTGTGAGTTTTTGTTTTCTCAACATTATCTTATCCTTAATAGAAAAATAAGCATGGAGTGATAGCAAAAAAGATCTGTAGACTAAACTTATTTAAGGGTTTAATCAGAGAAAATAAATAAAGGTCATAGGTTTGTGTTGTATCTCAAGAGTGCTGTGGATTTTAAGCATTTTTCAATAGGAATATTTTTTGGTATAACATTGTGAATGCAAAAGTGACCTAATATAATAATCTACAGTTAGGTCATTATGGGTATGTTCCGATATACACTGCGAGCACTGCGCAGTGGTCTTACTGCTGAAAAATCCGTTCCGTTATGGACTGCCAGTATACTGCTACAGTACCGTAGGGAAATTTATGACGTCATGAATTGCCGCCATATTTGTACTGTGAGCACTGGAGATTTCGAGGTGCAGTGCTCGCAGTGCTTTTGACCACGTGATCAGTCGAAACAGATAAAATAAAATACTTACGTTTATTATAAGATGGATTTGATTGATAAATAATTTTTTTATACAATTTTCCAATTTTATAATATTTTCTTTTGAAAAGAGGGAATCTTCATATTTATATTCACCTTGCATTAACAAATTTGAAAATGGCGCCAAAAATAGGATTAACAGTATACTGGACTGCGTTCCGTTTTAAAAAGTCACCAGTATAACTAGCTATAAAGGAACGGGCTTCCAGTATACTAAATTGACGTCATACTGTTCAGTGGTCGCAGTGTATATCGGAACATACCCTATAAAAGGCCACATTTGACATATTTCGGACATAACTTCAAAGTGTAGACATTTTTTTTTCAAAGTAACGGCGACGGTACAATTAAAAATATATTTATTGTTGTAATATAAAACTAAAGCAATTTTACGTTTTATTTTGACCGATAAACCTTTCTAAATGTAATAAATCTAATCTATCTAATTATAATGGTATGTCTGTGGACCCAATTCATTTTTAAACAGTAAGGACGTAACCAAAAAATTTGAATTGTTTGAATAAAAAACCACATTGGGATTATAAATATGAATATATTATTTTAATAGGTAATATGTCATAAATCATAAACAATTTCATTTTATATATTGTTTTGAACTCAAAGAATGTATCACTATATTTTAAATGCGAAAATAATGACAAATAAAAAAATGCAACCGGGCTGGACTTCCAGCCACTAGCACCGTCGAAATCTATAATAAACTCGTATACAATTGAATTGGTATTAGTATTCACAATCACAATAGATACTTGGTTACATGACGCTTACGTCAAATGCCACTAACTGGTAATTGGTTTTGTACCATTAAAAATTATAATACAAAATCATATATTTAAGGAAGCCGTCATAATCAAGCGTGAATTTATAAAATTCTCTCTATAAAACCAAACAAAAAAGTTACCCCTAAAATTCTGAATTAACTCCATTTCTTATTGTAATTACTTTTTATTGTGAAAATTGATAATAATAATGCACCACAGATAACTTCTTAATGCACCATAGACTACCCAATTTTTCCAACTGTATCCTGTATGCTATGTTAAGATTGCCTGGAAGAAATTGCTTTTTAGCAATAAGGCCGCCAATTGTACTATTTAACAAAATAGTACAATCTAACAAGATTACTATATACTTGTTCATTCATTATGGTGTGTACAATAAAGAGTATTTCATTCATTCATTCATTCATAAACAACAACTACCTACTAGATGATAGAGACAACTGGCAAGTGAGACTAAAGGGTAATCGTCTCCCTCCGAGTTAGACGTTGTTAGCCCAGAGACCGTGATCTACCTGAAGCAGGTTGGACATTCTATTTATGCTTATTGGTAATGAAATTTATAGAGGGCGATGTAGGTTTCTTTTATTCTTAATGACTTGTTAAGATACAACAAGTCAATGTACAGCGTCATCTCGTTACTGGGTGTTGAAACGTCTTGTTTTTCGTCTTACTATCGATTGTTGTGGCGGTTTTTTTTTTATGTTAGTGCGAAGTGATAGATGTCGGTACGTATCAGTGGCCCCAGAATCATGCAGTAGTTAAAAATTGTCGTCATATGAAGTTTGCGTGTAATTCATCAAAGTTTTTGATTCCACATCCACTATCCCTATCTATTTGTTGTTGGCAATGAGATACAAAGGTGTTTTGTATTTAATCTCACTCTTTAAGTTTTTGCAATACGCTTAGCTAACCATTTTGTGGGTTATTAATTTTTTATCTATGATTTTCATCTGTTGTTCTTGTTACAATGTCGACACAACACATATCAAGATTACCAGCTTAATTAAATCTTTTTATTGTAATAAATATACTAAACTAAATAATTATTTTAATCAATATGTTTTTTCAGTACTAGTATTTATTTATAAAACTAGAATTTGGGTGCTGAAAGACCGTTTTAGAATATGCCATTTTCTGGATTATTTACATAAATTAATTTAATAATTGTATCAAAATTATTTACCTGAATTGAATCAATACGATTGGCCCACGGTTGATCTTGCGTTAGATGCGATTGCCCATCTATTTCTACACGACCAAAACCACCATACTTTTTGCTGTCTGAACATAATACAACCTGGGGAGGTAAAATATGTTATAGTAGGCTGTACTCAATATATAATTTGGTTTATCATGAAATAAATCGACCAAATTTAACTTTTAACTATTAAAACATAACAAATTAAAAAACTGAAATTTACAAAGATCAATACAAATAAGCAAAAGGTACAAATAGAATATGAGTTGTTTATTGAGTTTTGAAAATTAATTTACTTTTATATATGAAAGAAAACCGGTTGTCATGGAGAAATCAAGAAAGTGCCGCAGTGAAATCTAGTTTTATTTCAGGAAATAATGGTTTTTTTTAATACTTCCTCATTAATCTGCTTAGACAATTTGTAACGTTGGGTGATTCCTAGTTATGCTATGCCTTGATCTAGGTTAGTGAAAACGGGTGTTAGTCCCTCATAGGTTCCTGTATAACGTTTTACGTACGGTAACTTAAAAATGTAGAAAACACTATATAGATATATTGTTAAAAATCTTTCACATTACAGATGCAATACCTATTATTATCTATACTAATATTATAAAGCTGAAGAGTTTGTTTGTTTGTTTGACCGCGCTAATCTCAGGAATTACTGGTTCGAATTGAAAAAATCTTTTTGTGTTGAATAGACCATTTATCGAGGAAGGCTTTAGGCTATATAACATCACACTGCAACTTTTAGGAGCGAAGAAATAATGGGAAACGCGGACGAAGTCGTAAACAATATTGTGACTGATGATGTACCTTATAGTTCCCTTGTACGTTTACACCGACTCTATAATCCGTGAAGCTTTGGTATGGGTGGAAGTTGAAAACAAATAATAGGCCTGCTCTCTCAAATGCAATCACTTTGTCGCCTTCGTGTTTGCATGACACATAAGCCTGTAAAAAACAGATTGTTGTTATTTAAATTGAAATTTTCATATGATGTCACCACAAAAAATGCTTGTTTAAGCTTTCTTATGAATCGGAGGACATGTTAAGAAGATATTCCCCAGAAACCCGCACTGGGCTTCCATGTATATTACCCGTTATGTTAGGCCTATACCAATATAGGATGATGATAACTAAATAAATATTAGACAACATAACATACAGTGCTAACATGCCAAGATAATGGCTAAAGCACACCTATTAAGGAGCATTTGAGACAATGAAGGTACCACAACACCTAAACCCGAGATGATATAGAAATCTAACCCAGGTCCTTCAGGTATGGCGACAACTCGAAACCGACGCACGAACCACTCGGCAACGATGATCAGATGATGATTGCAGTAAGATAAGGCATGGGAATTTCTTAATATATCTATATATGACCGATATAGTTTACTCGGAATTGAATCTCAAAGTATTCTTACTGGAGGTGAACTAAGCCATCGGTGTTTCTCTTCGAGCTCGTTCATGTCCTTGTCGAACTGATTCAGGAATTTGTATTTGAGTAGGTGATCGTCCACCAGATTCCACTGTCGGCGCGCGTAGTGATACGAGGAGTTGTTGCCCGCGCGCGGGAAGTCCAGCCATTCGGGGTGACCAAATTCATTACCTGTCCAGACCAGACGGAAAAATATGGTATCAAAAATATTTTGTGTAAGCTAGATATGTAAGCATACTGATTTCCGACTTAAAATTTTCCGAGAGTCTAAAATAATTTTCTCAAAAAGTGCATAGTGACTTGATTCTACAAAAAAAGAATAAAGATTAAGACATACTTAAATTTCAATTGATTATAAATTCAATTCAATTGATATTCAGGAAAGCCAGAACAATTCAGTTTCAAAGCATGATAATAATAAAATAAATAAAAATAAAATAAAAATGATGTAAAATAAATGTTTTATGTAAGTAATCCATACATAAAGGAGAAAGTTTGTAGGTTTGGATGTTTCTTATGTCTTCACGTAAAAACTACTGCACAGATTTTGATAAAATTTGGTTTACAAAAAATTACACACACATCACATGTAGTATTTGTGTTTATCATCTATCCGACGCACGAACAATCAAAAATTGACATCATCCTTATTACTTCGGAATCTAGTACTTTAACGAGTTTTAATATTACCTATGAAATTGAGATATCCTTCACCACCGAGTGCGTGTGTGATGAGTCTGATCATACAGTGTAGCGCCATCCCGCGCTCTACCACGGGACTGGGCTCGCTGAGCGTGCTCATGTGCGTGTACATGGCGGCATCCATCAGCCAAAACGCTATGGTCTTGTCGCCCACCAGTGCCTAATTAGAGCTTATTATTAGCCTCTCACATTGAGAAAAATAAATAAATAAGACGTGCACAATTCGGCCAATATTATAAAATTTAGTTTTGATATTAACATTATATCAATTGCTAAACTGAGGAAAAGAGTCTTTAATTCTTTTATATTTATATTAAGAATTATCTCGCAATATTATATTTGGCTAAACCGATTTTCTTCCTTCCTTCTTAACAGTCCGTAGGGAAGGCCTGAGCCCCTACAGTGCGAACGTAGAAGGACTGATAATGATAACTTTTGGCCCTTTCTACGGAGACCTAAGGTTCCGTGGGACCCCTTTTGTGGATTTCCTACGGCAGCGATTGTAGTAAGGAATCGACATTATAAAGTTTACCTGGTCGTGACTTTCAGCATAGGCAACTGTGCCTTCCATCCATCGTCGGTTGGTGAGTGTATGGACGATGTGACCCATCTTCCAGTCCTCGTCGCGTTCCTCCTTCAGCAGTTTGATCCACATGTCGGGTATGGCCATGCCCAGTCGGTAATCGAAACCGGTGCCGCCCTCGGATACAGGCCGGCAAGACGCTGGCATTCCTGATACGTCCTGTGAAATAAATAATTTATTTTTTGTTACATAATTACTAGGAATCTTTTTATATTATAGCGATTTTTTTGTTTGACAACAAAGACAAATTGGCAAATGTTTGGGTCAATATTCAGAATCCCCGCCATAATGGCGCGTTTTTTTTAGAAAATTAAAATAAATAGTAACAAACGAGCACGCTGCTGAGTGTGAGTCAGATGTCATCGAATCAGACTCGCAACAATATTTGTGGGTAGTTTGATGTAAGCGGAATTCTAGTTATATATTCACCCCTATCCATTGTCAACGAAAGTGAGAACACAAGAGAAAAACACTTTCCACTTCTTTATCCAAACTGGTATAATATACAAGTAAATATCGTTTAGGAAACTACGCATTCTCTCTGTACTTAAAATTCATTTTCAAATTTCCATTTAAATGTTATTACCTATCTATTGTTATAATTTTAGTTTTTGAACTTGTTGTGTAACTCTTATTGGCTTAAGTACTATTATTTAAGTTTATGGTTCAATTCAAGTGATTATAAACAAGCTGTCGAGTTACCAAATAAATAAAAGAAAAATAAGCAATAAATATATCGACGCTGGAAAGCAAACACGTAGTAAGGTAACCTGCAAAACCAAAATGGATATTTAAAGTGGTAAATCTTTATATTGTTCAAAAAAAAATATTTCTTATTTCCGTATAAATTGACTAAGGAACACCTTATTTGTTACCATGGACGTTTATAAGAATTATTTATGGAAAAAAAAAAAGCTTTTCTGCTCTGAAGAACAATTTTTTAAATTTTTAAATTGGTTTTGCGGGTTACTACGTGTTTGCTTTCCAGCGTCGATATAATACCTAGCTAATAAGCACTAGCTAGAGTATTTGTTTGCTTGTTTTTGCTTTGCTACATAGGGGAAAGGAGGCAAGATGGAAGGACTAACTTTGTGTAGTAATAAATAGAAATGTACCTGAATTAAGTGTCTTATTTAAGTTGTTTTAACACAAATTTAAGTTTTGGAATCAATACTTAAAATACTACCATTTTTTAACTCAAGTACTTATTTACAATACGTTAGAATATAGCTGATTTTTTGTATTTTTCTTCGGGACACTGGGAAATAATAATTTCTTTACCTTTATTTGGTATTTTCTGTTCTCCCCTTCTATAATTATATTCCTTTGTTTTTATAGTAGTAATTTTGTTCTTTGTTATAATTTAATTTTTTTTACTACTTCCATTTTGCCCTCAACTTCAAATTTCCATCGTGTCCGTACGCTGGTATTATAAATAGATTAATATATATATAACGTCACTAATATTTTGCTTTGGTTATTGTATCAATATAATACATATTTACTCTCAAAGCAAAATAGTCATATTTCCTACTTATCTTAAGCAATCAAAGTAGAGAAATCTGTCATTTTTGTAATATTTTCCTATCAAATAAACACATAGCTTGTACATTTTACTGATTAGTGCGAATCGGACTTAATATCGTTCGTTAATCACACTCAACTACGTGTCTCTCTGTGAGCAGCACCCACGATAGATCACATATATTTTCTATTATAGAAAGTTTCCATTTTGTCCACTCCTTCCATCTTGCCCTCCCTTCCCCTAAGCATGTAATACTTAGGTAAATGACCCGCCGTAATAAAAAGTACTAACCTCAGCGATGGTGATGGCTCTGGAGTCGGTGCCGTGTATGAGTTGGTTGGCGAGCATCAAATAGACGAGCGCCTCGGTGTCCACATTGAGGCCGAAGTACTCGTCGTAGTGGCCCGAGAACCCCTCGCCTATACCGCGGCTGTGATACAACATCGACGTCACGCCGTCGAACCTAGGTACACGTGTCAGGAGAAAGGTTGTAAGTCTCTATTCAATAATAAGTATAAATTTATGTGTATTATTGTGATGGTTTAATTAGATATTAAAAAAAACTTTTTATTGATTAGAACCAACTTCAAACTTAAAAAAGTGATCCTATTACATATCTCAAAAGCGACTTATTCAAGAAAATGCTATTACATGTCATTTGAATCGCGCTAATAGTTTTAGTTTTACTCGGATTCACTGTGAGACCAAACGATTTATTCCAATCAACTATACGGCGTAAATCTATATCAGTAGAATGTACGTCTTCAACTTACTTACACAGTGGAGCTTGGCAGTAGATTGAAAGTCGTCTGTGTATAAAGTGGTAGAAAGAAGAGAGATTTTGAGAACGTGACATGAATAGTGGAGTTAAATTGTGTGTTTTGTTGACAAAATATTTTTGTAATTATGTTAATTATATAAAGTCTGCTCGTGAATTTAATTGGCGTTAGATTTTTATCCCGAACCCTAAGTCGTAACAATTTAGTGTCAGATGTGTGGGATAAAAAAAATGCCTGTTACACCACATGACAACGTAGTGGGCGTTCGTACTATAGAATCCAACGCAAACAAGAACCGACTGCGACGACCGCGACCGACACGCCAGATTTTATGGCATTGATGGCATCGATGTAGAAACAGGCTCACCAACAAGAGGAACAGTCTTACCAACAAGAGGGATAGTCTCGTCGCCTGGAGGAACAGTTGCGACGTGATAAAGAAGAACAGAAAGAACAGTGGCGTTTTCAAACAGGGAAGCGCATTCCATAAATACCTTCTTACATCATAAGTAATATTTACCTGAATCCGTCAAATTGGTATTCTTCTTGATACCATCTCAAGTTGGACAAAAGGAACCTGAGCACCTCAGTTCTGAAAAATAAATATAAAAATAAAGTTTTTATGCTCTGTGTCCTCTGCTCTAGAAAAGTTCAAGGTCAACCTTGGCCTATAATCTTGGCTTCGCATTTTTTTACAATTTCTCTCGTACATGTTTATGATGAAGTGGTCAATAAATTTATTTTTTTATCTCTTTTTAACAAATTGGATTCTAGTAGTCCTTATAGATATACTGATAAGGCTTGTTATTGAATATATATTAAACGTTCGATGGATGTTCGTTTTATTGTTCTCACTCGGAATAATTGAAGAGGCGACTGTCCCAAAGCGAGTGAGTGCCGCGCGCTCCGTCGTGGAAGTAGCACGAGTTAGTGCCGTCGAACTCGTTCAGTCCGTCCAGGGTGTTCTTGGAGGCGTGCGAGTGAACTACGTCCAGTAATACATACAATCCCATCTCGTGAGCACGGTCTATCAGCTGTTTCAGTTCGCACGGAGTACCATAGCGGCTACAAAAATAAAAACAATACTAATACATAAGTACACAACATAAGTTGTCAATCATATCCTCAAAAAAACTGAATGATGATGATAAGACTAGTATTAAAAATAGGAGTCGTAATGTTGTATTTTATAAAAAAAAACCCGACTGCGTGAAAACAAAAGAGAAGTGAAAAAACAAAAAACTAAAAAGAAAAAAACAAGCCCAGTAGTTTGGAATGTTATTAAGTACTACTGAATAATTGCGCCATTGAAATAGTTTTAAAATCTATACACACATAAAACATATCATAAATTCAAAAGCAGAACAGAAGGATCAACAGTCAGGACCCATTCCTTTTTGACCAATCAACAGAGCAGTAAAATTTGAATGGGTCCCGACTGTTGACCCTTTTATTCTGCTTTTAAATTTATGATATCTACGTTTTATGTGTGTATAGATTTTAAAAGTATTTCAACGGAGCAGGTATTAAAAATGACATAATTATCTTATCATGAAAAATAAACTTCTTACTATAATAAGATTTATGTGAAGCTGTATTACCTACTGGCAGCAAAGAAACTTGTTACTTGATATCCAAAAGACGCATAATACGCATGTTCCATTATCGCCATCAACTGTATTGCGTTATAACCTTAAAACAAAGTATTCGACAGTAATGAAGTATAAATTCTTTTTATTCCAAAATTATTAATTTACTTAGTAGTTAAATACCCTGATTCTTGATTCTCGGCAAAACATTATCTCGGAACTCGCTGTAAGTGCCAACTTTTCCTTCAGGAGTCGCTATTCCCACGTGGCATTCATAAATTCTTAGGGATGTTGGCCTTTCTACTTTAGGGTGTTTGAACTGATATGGCTGCAAAGAGAAAAATCCAAGTTCTGTTTGATCACTATCATCAATAATACTGAAATAAATAATCGAATCCAACACTTTATGATCATGTTTTTATTCTAAATTCAATTATTCATAAAAAATTGCTATCTCGGGATCGAAGTCAAAACAATCAACATTATGTTTTAGGATTAACATAACATGTATGTATCTTATCTGTTGTGTAAGTTTAAAATTATCGTGTTTCATATCGATACATTGAGCGAACTTGCCTGATCTGGTTTGTAAATGAAATGTTGATACGTGAACCCCTCGTGCGGTTTAACATAACTGGCCCACGGCGATATCCTGTATAGGTGATCGTTGACGATTATTTGAACTCGACTGCCGTGCTTCAGCGGACAGGAGCCGTCGGAATCGGCGGGAATATGAAGCTCCCATTTACCAAACTCCAACTTTTTAAACGCATGACTTTTTGAGTTCCAACCGTCTGAAAGAGAGGTGAATGTCTAGGTAAAATTAGTAATCCCAAAGTCCTTAAAAAGAAAGAAAGCTTTGCTTTTGGAGGGGATAGACGAAATATTTAAAATTAAATTATTACTGGCACAGTAGTTTGCGGCAACGGCAACCGTACCTATGTAAAATCTGCAAATTGTAGGACAAAAATTTCAAAACCAGAGCCTAGATGCTCTCTAAACTAGGTAGGAAGACTGCGACGCAGATCCAATGATATTACAAATAGAACCGATAAAACTGTGTAAATTAATGCATGTAGTTTAAAAAAATTCAAGTTTATTGGAAAATCTGGAAAAATAAAAGGACTTGGATTGTCACGTACGCATCAAAAACATTGATATGTTTATCATTTTATAATAGTATGATAAGTTATGTTTTGAATTGTAGAATAGATCGCGCTAAAATATGTGAACACGCACAGCGCTCGACGATTCACGATATGAAAGCGTGGCGCGCGGTCTTAATTTATAGTAACTAGACGTTATTTTTAGAATGGATTTAAAGTTCTTATAAAATTTCATTTTATAAATCTTGTAGTTTGAAGGAATTATGGCTTCTACAGTATGTACTACCTGCCTTGGGAATTTTAGTTTGGTGGAAAATATACCTAAGGGACAAGTCCGTCGTTATGTTATCTTAACTTGACCTAAGCTTATTAGGTTGATACCTACTTATTTACTACTTCTGTTTTGTTTTATTTATTAATAATGAAAATTAAATTGTTAGCGCATACATAAAGTAATATAATAATTCAACGGATTATTTTGTTTGAAATCAAGAGATATTAAAATATGTTTAGTGACTTTTTTTAACTAACATAAACAATAGAAAATATGTATGTTGTAATCAGAGTACATAACATTAAAAATCGCTACCACATTGCAGAATCAGCGTCGGCTCAATTAAACTTGGCGCCCTACGCAAAAACCGCGCAAAACACTGAAACGTCGCCCACAAAAAGATCAACAAAATAAAAGAGTAAAAAAAAGTACATCAATTATTTATTTTGCCAATGACAAAAGAAGCTCTTTAGACTGCTGATATCAACACCGCGATCATGGGCTCGTGTTTAAAAAACAAAAGTATTTTTAAGGTACCTAGAGGAACTGCAGCATATTTGGGATACTGCAGGTAATTTGGAATACTTCGATATCTAAATAAATATTAACAGCATCTATGTTTTTTTACCGTGAACATAACGTAAGGCACACTACGACATATAGCATTAAAAACAGGACACAATTTTGACATTCTGGCTACCAGCTCCGACGGAAGAAAACGACAGATTTCAAAACTTTTTTGTTAAGTATGCAAACAACGATAATTATTTACTCTCAAACATAAAATATTTAGTGTAATTATTCAAACTGTTATGTGACCTTTTTAGTTTATAATTTAACTTTAATTTTGTGAATATTTCTAGAATTGAAAATGTGATATGCCGTTTTAGGTTAGGATGGTATGTTGTTAATTTGGAATACTACACGTGAACTGTTACAAAGGCTAGAAATTTATTAGTTTGTAAGATCAAGTGTTAACAGTATGTTAATAAAACATATAATTGTTAAAATATATATAGATAATAATATATATCAGTATATAATATAAAGTGAATATAATTTGGAATACTATATTCCAAATGTCCAATACTATATTCCAAATTACCTGCCCTCTAAGTCCTTTCACATAATTTTATTTTTTAGCTCTTTTTGTTTTTTGATAAGGTTCCTGACTTTTGTTCTTTATGATAGTTATAAATATTAAAGTTTAATAGTTTTCCAAGTAATAAACGTATTTTTTATTGAGCTATCCCTTTTTTATTTAAATTTATTCTCAAAAAACAAACTGGTATTCCAAATATGCTGCAGTTCCTCTACTGTATTTTTAAGGTTGGATAATAAAAGCAAACATAATTTGTTTGTCATGCCATGCCGCCCCGCAAATACGGTTCTAGCAGACATCAATTATAGGTATACTATAATATTGTGGTGGGAGTTGTTCGTTTGTTTAATATACGGTAAATTGTTCTAATTTGTACTACTAGAAACTGAACTCACTGAATTCGCCTTGAAGATGCAGGGAGTGAGCACCGGGAGCCCATTCGCGCCAAGTGACGGAACCATCTTGATTGTATTGAGGCCCAAAATATTTGTAGCCCTTAGTGAAACCATCCACACCGCCTTCCCATGATTCAATGCGGTCCCAAAGATCTTTATAGCAGCCATATCTAGAAGAAAACGAGGTGTTTCTATGTGAACAAACAGTATAAGCGAAAGGAAAACGAACGTGCGTAAATTATTTCAGAATGTTAAAGAAATCTATTTTTCGCTAGTTTATGACGCAAGTGATGCAACGGCTGCCTCTGATGCATAGATTTCTCTTCTTCTTCTTTTATAAATGGCTTATCTGCGCATTTCGCACAATTTAGCCAATGTCAAGTGAATACATTAATTTCTATATGTAAAATGAAATTAATGAGAGAAAAATGATAATCCGATTTGAAAATTTCAAAATTTTCGTCGGTGGACAAAGAACGTAATATTCTTAATGAAAAATGCTTAAAAAGTAAACTTTGTCCCTGGCATACTGAGATGGGATCTGAAGTCAATCCAGTGACCTTTCGCAATCCGGCGACTGCTCTAACCACTGTGCTACCCAAAACCTAACATGACTGACGACGACGAATCATTTGTTACTGTTTCGCACCTACAGAGCGTATTTTTATTAATGTTCAGGCAATCCATCTAAACAGCCGAAATAAATATTTTTACAAATATTTAAACTTTCGATAGAGATGAAAAATCTGTCTAATTATCAAATTTCATCAATTTTGCATTCACTATGCCATAATATGCTGAAAAATATTCATAATAAGAGTAATATTGTAATTTTGCGTGTGATCGCTCCCCACCATAGAAAAACGGAAGCGTGCAACTTTAGTTGAAAACACAGCGATGAAATTGTATTTTTAAGTAAATTTGAGGGTAGGTACTGAAAATAACTAAGTACTGTTAAATAAAGAAGTTTTTTCGGATTAAGCGGAACCTCATAAGTCGCTTTTACACTTTAAATATAATTTAATTTTATTGAATAACACGATTTGTTAGTAGGTAGGTATTTAGGATGTGTGGAAAAATCAGCCCAGTATTTAAACCTGTGTTTATCATTATTCACGTAAACTTTTGTTCTAGTAAGCTTCTAGCTATATTTAAATATCTATACCTGTCTACCAACTATTTTAACCAATATTATTAGTAAGTCCATATCTGCATATAATTATCCCCATTTTTATTTTACAATACTAGTTTGGGTAAAGTTGAATTAATTTGAAGTTATATTTCAACTCCCACAACTATCAATTATTTTAATATATTTGCGCGTCCTTGACTTACACATGTAAGTATTCTTTTTAGATACACTCCAATTAGATAGAAAGTTACCGTATCAATTCTTTATCAATTTATAAAATTATTTCCAAACAAACATATGACCTTATGTTTGACATTGGAATAAATATAAGGAATAATAAAGCGATTAACTCTTATTAAATAGATGTAGTATCCAATAAAGTACTGAAATAAAAAGTAGTTGGCATTACTTAGGCATGGAGTTATCAATTAAGCTAACGTGTTAATAAAAACCTTTGAAAATGAATTTCTATTTCACATTAGTGGTTTTATTCGCCATTCATTTTCTAAATCGGTTGTAGCACACTAAAGCGCTTTAAGCTTGCGAGAACGGAACTGTAAACACAGATGGATAACCTCAAAAAATATTTGCTTTTTCAATTTATTTTGTTGAATGCCTGTTTTATCGCTACAAAAATAATATTTTAAGAAGTTCACACTTACCTACGTCGGATTTCCCGCTCATATGGCTTTAAATAACCATCACGATCGAATAATTTCTGTATATCGGGGACAGGCACTTGCAGTGGATCCATGGCAGAGTAGTTACCACCCATGTTATGTTGCTAGATAAAGACGTAAAACCGGCTCGAACTGCGCACGCGCTTACAACCGCGCGAAGCGATATCTTCAATTTAAATGATTTATAGTTGATTACAGTTAGAATTTCGAACAGCCAGTTATTTTATACCTAAGATAAACTTGAGGTCAATACTTGTGGTTTTTGCTTGCATGTACCCCGTTTTAAAGTTATCTTATTTATCTTACTGACCATTCATGTCCTGATAGTCAGAATTTCGGTAAATATTTAAACTAGTTCGTTTAAAAAGGTAGTAATCGTCATGATCGACCTTTTAATGGCCCCACTACTGGAACACTAGAGCATGGGCCATTCCCATTGATAGAAACATGAAGAATAGGATACCGTCACGCGAGTCTAACACGTATTGGTGAGACGGCGGTGGATTGGTGTTGAGATCAAAAGCTTGACGTACCTTCATAAAGAGTAATATAGGTAATAAAATTTTGGTCACTCATCCCATCACCAACAATTACGAAAGCTGCTTAACTTCTGTAATCGAACACCAAACCCTCCCCACAGTACCATGAAGTCTTCACTATCGTAAAATCTTCATAATTTATTAATGATATCAGGTAATGAAAGTCCCTAAAAGCATTAGTTTATGAAGGGAATATAAAAAAAAACATTTAGATGACTTCAGAACCTTCTCCTGTGTTAGTCTGTTAATAAATTATCCATAGCAATAGCATACATATGGGCATCACACATAGGTAGCCAGAACACTGTTCATGAATGTCTACAATTTAATTTTGTTGGAAATTTTAAACTTAGAAAAGCTTTGTGAAACATCCATTTCCTTCAGTAGACCTTAGAAGTATTTGTTTATAACAAAATAATATTTTTTTTGTAATTTACAAAATACTGAAACTGAATATTATACTCATTGAAAAACAACAGATAAATATGCATCCTACAATTCATATTATTTTCTTTCTGTGACTGGCATCTCCTCAACTCTTAGTCTAAGTAGTATCTGTCTTGTATGCGGAATAAATAATACTTGGAAGTAGAATAAATGAAAAAATATTTTAAATAACAATTTTTATTAAGTATTATAATTTAATTATTTACCTACTTGAAACTATACCACAACAGAACTACAACTAGTTTAGAAAATGTCTGAACCCGTTCGTCTAGCACGGGCTACAGCCTCTTCTGGTTGCAAACTTTCTTCATCAGATGGTTGTTGTGGAGTTCCATCTTCATTGAGTTTGCCTTGTTTGAAATCTGTGACAATTTTTTTACTATATACAGCGTCAAATAATTGTTCAGGTGTAAATTCGCTTTGTACAACATCAGCTGCTTTGTATGAAACATAGGGTTTTAATTCACAGTTTGTCAAATCGGGTACAATCAATTCTGGAATCATTTCAGGTACCTGAACAAAGCAGCCATTTAAATTATATCCAACATCACGGACTCCTCTTTTATCAATCGGAAGTTCAGGTTCTGAACTGGCTTGCCTTTGTTTATGCAAGCGACTGCCCCTCTTGTTGGGTATTACAAATTTCCGAAAATTCCTTTTGCCCTCCAGAGTAGCCGATAATGAGATACTGCGTTTTGATATAAGGTTAAATAACTTTGGTAATTTAGACATATTTGGGAAACTTTACTGTCCAAAACTATTTTTTCTAAACAATTGTTTGAGTAGTATTATAATTCGTCCATGGGACAGGCGAAGGAACTAAGCCATACAGCCAAATCTTGGACAATTGTTTGAATTTTTGAGGTTATTTTCTATTTTTTTATTTTGTTCCATGCAGAGTTTCTTAAACATACAGCCACAAATGTATGTTGAACAGCTTTCATAAAATATTATTACGTTTCTATTTTTTGGGACTAATCGAAAGATAAATACAGCGAATCATTAACCTTGAAGTTAATGGTCTTTACCACAGATTTTACCATTATTACAGAAAAAGAAAAGTATCAAACAAAAGCAGATGATCACAGGATTTTGGTAGATTAGTTTTTTTTATTGAGCTTAACGGTTCTGGTTTCAAGTCCTTTTGCGTGTAGATAAGTTTGAATTTAGTGCTGCTAGTATTTGAATTCTTAACTTCCATGACTCACTTTAACTTTTTTATGTGCTTATTTAACATGAAGACCCGTTATTGTATTTGCCATTATTTTTTAAATGGTAATTAAAAACCTATGGTCTCTATAATATTTCAATTTTTCATGAATTCACGCTAAAAAGACTTGACGTTTTAAGAATGAGCTTCTAAAATACGCACGGCGTTGCCAGACTGACGACAGCTTAGCAGTGCAATGCACATTATTCCTTTATTATCTTTAAAAGTATTTACACACTTCATTCATTTATCGTCGCTGTCCCAGACTGATAAATAAGGGATTAAAAGATGATCTGGAAAGTCTGTTTTGGAATTTATTAAGTTCAGATTTAAAGACCGTTTATCCCTAATACGTAAGGGAATGGCGGTGATGGGACTAGATGGATACACAATTCATATCAAAATCTTAGATCTGCCAGCCAGACGCACACCAATTTTCTCTGATGCGTATATGGTATCTCACTCTGAACCCGGGGAATATGATTTGATGTAACTCGATGTGGTGCTCGACTTTGTCATGCATGATACATGAGAGAATAATCATCATAAATATTTTTATTGTATGAAGCCAGACATTGTCTAAGATATATTACGAGTCTATAAGCTATACTTATTAGACTCAGTATTTTAAATTACCTCGTTAAGAGTAGGTATGCCTTATTACCAAATTAGGTATCTCAAAGAGAATTGAAAGGAAATTTGACGTTATATAAAAAACTCCACCATCCACCTAAACAGGCTATCATATTTTAAAGGAAACAAATATAGTTTTGTCAAATTTGTATAATTTATAATAAAACATATATACATTTCATTCTAATAAACTTGTGAACACCAAACAAACTTTTATTCAAATAATAGGCAAAAAACAAAATCAAAGAAACAATACCTTTTGTATAACAATCTATGATGTTTCGTACAAAATTAGATAATGGTCTTACATTTACCATTTTGTGTTTTATATAGCACCGGAGAGCTACCAAACTTCAATTTTACCATCCACAGCATATCAGGTTTGTTAGAATCGGTAAAATAATTCTACTTAATTTTAAATTTAGGCAAGTCCAAAAGTGACTGTGAATTTTAATATTTTGCTATATCCTGATATGCTGTTCTGTGTACAGTACAATGAAATCTTCATTGAATACATTTTACATAAGAAATTTTAGCTAACAAAAAAATCAAATCATATTGTGCTTACTTTGAGGAAAACAAGAAATTGAAAATATTCGGTTACCTAGGAACCATAAAACCCCTGTAATTTAACAGATTACATACCGAAATAAAATAAGCAATCTATTATATATGTATACCTATATGTTTTGTGCTCCCTCTGAACACCAGTGGTTAACCTTATTGTTACAAGTTTGTTGGCACTGAATTATTTAGCACCACAAGCGGTTTATATAATTAGAAGAATCAATTTTTGTGTATTTAAAGATACTGCAAAAATTGCTACTATATAAAACATATAAAACGTATACATGTTTTCTCAGCTACTTATGTCTGTAGCTGAGAAAAAATGTATACATACATAACAAAAAAAGGTTTGTTCAAGGTCACAATCAATTTGAAATGTCTTGTCTGTCTTTTATATCATTCAGTTGATGATTAGTGCGGACTAACCTCATCGGAGGACGCCCCTACTTAGCCCGCCATTGATCAACTGTATATTAAATTATAGAGAAAGCTAAAATGAGTATATGCTTTGGAAAGAGTGGAATTATCAAATCTATATATATATTTCGATATTTAAATGAGTTACCTACTCGATTTTTGTAACAAACATCCAGTATATATATGGTAGAAAACGCCGTACTTATAATTATTTCAGAGAGCACATGTACTCACAATCCAACACAATGAGTGGTTTGCATTTAAATTGCTAATTGCTTAAAAATAGTCTATGTTTTCTTTTGATACACAACGAATTACAATTTATCCATAAACAAGGGAATGTTCCATATTAACAATTTCATTAACACATGTGAATTATTAGACGAGGTAATTTTTCATTTTTAAACTAATTTTATGGGAATGACGAATTAAAACACAATTGTATAGTGGCTTAAGAATAACATAACCGACAGAAAGCTCGAATTAAAAAATATTTCTCACTATCATAGTTATTTAATTATCACCCATAAACACTCCTAAGTAAGATTTCTAATGTTCTAACAAAATATAAAGATAATCAACTCATTTTCGACCGCGTCCACACCACAATAATGTGTATCCATCAATGCATTCTTATTTCGTACATAACAACGTGGCCGTTAAACTGCCTTAAAAATATAATCATATAATTACGAAAACCAAAAGCGTACGTCACATTTATAAATAAAAGTATATATCGTACGCCACGTCACGTGTCCGCTGGTCTGTCGTCATGGTGGTTGGTATCTAATTCCTCTAGATTGTCGTTGGAAGAGTGCGTGTGGTCGCTGAGCTCGTCCATATGCTTCTGTTTCTTACGCACGTTCCAGTGCAGGCATTCAGCCAAAGAGTCGAACCAGTCGGAGATTTGGTCCTGTGCGCAGATCGACGGCACCGGATATACTGACGTTGTGACGTATAAACTGTTGATTTGAAAAAATAAAAGTTGACAATGCAGTTGGGCTCGATTCCGTCGCCTCGAAAATCGTTTTTTTTAATAATGGTACTTCTCTTTCAATATTTTGATTTTTATGTATTTTTATACAGACAAAATTGATGTTTTATGAGGTACTTTTACAAACGACTCATAAATTGTTAGCTATTTAATTAATCAATTACTATTTGATAGTTATAACAAATGTAAGCTTTCCTTGATTTACTAATATGAATAGAAAGAGAAGTAGTATTACGTTTTGAGACAATAGAATCGAGCTTCTTTTACACCACAAATTAAATTATAATGAAGTGCGTAAAAGCGTTATAATCTTATATGCAAAGCGTTAATGGTCATTCCAATCACCTCGATCTAAACCTTACATAGCCGAATCAGAAATCGGGATCGAATGAGTTTGCGATTGTCGTTTTGCAAAAAATTACCTATCGCCAGGCCTCAGCGTCAACTGAGAATGTCCGTCGAATGACACACTGGCTGTCGCCCGAGCCTCTAGACTAGGAGTTATCTGAAACAAGCTCCTATCGCTTAGCTACACAATAGGGTATTCTAATCTGTTTGAAATAATACCTGTAACTGTATATTATAATTTTAAAAAGTAAAAAATCAAATATTTTGGGAAATAAAGACCATTATGCCTTAAAATGAAATCAAAATTTGAACTATTTTTATATCCGCGAAAACGCTGTCTGTCATATTCATGAGCTCATTGTGATATGTATGCCTAGAGCATAGAGCATGAGAGAGTATGTATGCAAAGAGTAGAAATTAAAAGATATCAATAAAACAAGAACAATGTCATCTAACGATCGATTACGAAATAAAAAGATAAATAAGCTAAGAACAGCGCCATCTAGGAATTTGATTTATAGTTAATAGGTATATCTTTTGACTAATCTGACAGTTTTGTCGCCACAGTGACGTCACACAATGGCGGGACGTGTTTCAAATCACGTGACACAGACAAAAAAATCACGATTTTTAATTTTAAGATAATAAGATAATCGTGCTATTTTAAGACTCAAAATCAGAATCTCTATGTTGATTACGATGTAAATTTTGATTTTAGTGCAATTTCATGAATTATTTTTCACTACCGAAACTACCCTATTTGGCTAGGTTCAAACAGTCCACGAAACTAAAGCTAGAAAATATTACATAAAGTAAATGGATGGTCAGCAGCTCGGCTATTTTTTTTCTTGGTGATATTTAAAATTATTGGTATAATAATAAGTAAGAGGATGTGCTCTTTGATTTTAGACTCGATCATGCCTATATTTACTGTTTTCGCACCACGTACATTAATAATATAATATGTAGTAATTGATTTCAGTCACATTTTACCAAGAATACGACATTCACATCATATAACGACAGAGGTGGGATACAATAAATGCACAGTAATAAATATTGCACCTAATAATATTCTCTATTACATACCACACAAGACACAAAACAAAATTTTAATAGGTACAACACTACAACTACAACAGAGACTAATGCAACAACAATCACTAAATTTATATAGCGACTTGGGCGAGATACAATCGCTAAGTCTTTACAATATTAGTATTATTCTTTAGTGCACGCTACAAAGAGTAAATTAGACATATGACATGGGTTATACAATACAACACATCTACTAAACGAGTGTATATACATGTTAGCAGCGTGTAAATATATAAGCGTGCGACGTGCAACGTGCATTGTATACGCCAGTACCTATCGCCATGTTGGAGCGCTTGCCGGTTCCTGCCGTCGAATGACACCCACATTGCATTTCTGGCGTCCGGCGACAGTGCAATCTAGAATGTAATTTTGTGTGTGTTTTATGTACGCTACGTAGGAGAAAATTAAATATTTATTTACAATCGTTTTAAACACTAAGTTTATTGTAAGTGTGAAGTACCTCCTAGTTCAGGTATTGACAACCTTTTGAGACTGAAGAGTCATTCAAATTTTAAATAGTTACTAAAAATAATATTTTACTCAACATTTATAGTGTTTGTCTACATGTACACATTTTAAATAAATCAAAAGATATTTTACAACCTTACATTTTAGCTAGAATAATTAAACGAGTTATGGAATAATAAAAAAGTTTTTTTTTGTATTTGTGTACTTTTTGAATATTTGGTTAAATCCCATTCATAAATATTACAATTGCAAAACCTACAGTGCTTCAGGGCGTCATTGCTGCCGGGTTATCTTATCTTATTTATTTTTAAATAAGTATTTTCCATGATATGTATGATATGTAAAATAAAAAGTAAATTCACGCTTATTAAAATTTGTAACTCCCGTAACCGCGTGCCAAGCGATTTTTTCACCCCGTGTACTTTCCTCGATTGCTTTGTCTAATCGTGACCATCAAATGGACTGTAAGAACTACATATACCATGGTACTCTTGTATGGGATGGAACTAAAGAGCCACATGATATTCAGCCGAGCCACAGGTTGTCAATCTCTGTCCTAGGTAACAATAATAATGCTCGTGTATTCTTTGTGATTATTATTTACATCACAATAATGTTACATAATAATGATGCGTGAGTGTAACATCTCTATAAAAGTATCTTTAATCATTCGGTTTGTTATAAAAAAATGTATACTATTTCATATTACTTTGAGTGTATAACATAAGAGTGATCATTGAAGCTGTGACATGAGTATAACTCAAAAATAAAAATTTTGTGTGCAGGTCTATTTAAACAGGGACAGTAGATCCACTAAAAACATTGGGTCCTCTCGGTTGAGACCCGAGTTCAACAGGCCTATAGCGTACCACCATTGGCTTCAATTTGATCAAAACAGTCAAAATGCACTCAATCTTTACAAGCGCTCAGGTGTTCCTAGTTCAGGGACTACCAAAGTTTAGGCTAAGCGCGCACGAGGCTGCCAGTGAGATCTAATAGTCTTGTTCCTAGACGTCGCAGACGAAAAAGAAGGACAGCAACTCCCAAGTAATATGTGAGCGTTGAAAGATATGTATTTCATGTAACTAAGCATTGTTTTCGGTATTGAGTTTTGTTGCACGAGTCGCCAATAGGGCGCTGACCCCACCCCGTATGTTTACCTCTGAATAAATCAACTGTACTGTATTAGCATTTTGTTTTTATATATTTTATTGCTACATATAATATTGAACAAAAATTTTTTAATTGTTTCATAAAATATATATTTTCAGGATATTTGTCTTGCGATATGGAAAATTATTTTAAATTGTTAACCTAAACACTATTTGAAAGTAGTAAAACAATAATGTTAGTATGTTCGTGTTAGCAGAAGGAATATTAAGTCAACGGTTTTATAGTAACACCACCGCATGAGAAAACGAGTATTGGAACATTTTTTTATGTGTGTGTGTGTGTGTGTGTGTGTGTGTGTGTGTGTGTGTGTGTGTAAGAGCGGTAGTTGTACGCGAATTTCCTACGTTGTGAGGATGGCATTTGGCCTGACTACGGCGACTGGGTGTGGAGCACTCCCTGCTGGATCCCAGGGCTATCTCACATTTTTTTGTGTCATAGGGGATATACTTTATACATTGTCCTTGCCGCTTGAAAGGTATGTGGGACTCTCCATCCACACGGCATCGCCCGAATGCTAGTCAAAACGAGAATGGCATACCCACTAAACCCCCTCTGATGAAGGAAGGACGTGGAGTTCCAGCAGGGTCAGCTCCTCCACACTCAGCCCGAGGCCTTTCCTCGAAAGAGAAACGGGTGTACGGAGGGCATTTAGTGGATATTCCATCCGCGTTCTGATTAGACTTCAGGTGGATCCGTGCTGACGGCGAGTTCAACGGACGCGGCGGAGACAAAGCATAAATATAAGTGATAACCAGAGGTCGGAATTAGGTAGAGTTATTTATGTACTTGCATCGAAATGTTGATATTAATGTGGACCTTCCCGGGATTTCTTTATTTCTTTTTTTCATTGATGTAAGTTTGGCAACATCGTGCGTGTAGTAGTTTAAATTGTGTAAAAGTAAATAACTTTTTATTTAAAAAATCACGAGATTTTTTCTGCTCTTTAAAATTAATCTCGGGATTTGAGGCATATCCACTTTATTCTTTCGCTGTATGAAATCAGTGTAAGTACATGAATAACTCTACCTAATTCCGACTACTGGTGATAACACATTCTCTACAAAAACCTATGTTAAATCCACTTTATATTTAGTATTGTCGTAACTTTAGCAAGAAAAACTTAAATAAGTACGTTATTACAATAATAAGATGAGAACTACTGCCGACAAACTGCATAGCAGTTTGACAGATATAATTCAATGTAATGACTAATAGATAAATTACTAAATTTAAAAAATAATAACCTTCAGCTCGACACCGGCGGGCACCACGATGGGCCGGAAGGAGAGCGAGTGCGGACAGATGGGCGTCACCATCACGGCGGGCACGGACGGGTGGATCATGCTCGCGCCCGCCGCCACCGCGTACGCCGTACTGCCCGTCGGCGTTGACACTATCAAACCTATACGACATATGTTTATTTATTTATTTTCGTAACTTATATCTAGCAAGTGATAGTGAAAGCAAAACCAATAAAGTGTAAATACAAGCTTGTAACATGTCCGGGAATTATGAACCATTTTCACTTATAAATATTTAACAAAATAAATTTTGGAAAATATTACGCTTAGAAAATCGGAGAAAAGTAGAGATAATATGCTACAAAATTGCTAAAATACATATAAATTTAATTTAAATACATAAAAAGTTACAGATTTTATTATAACAGCTATAAACATTAATGCACAAATAACAAAGATATTTCAAAAATTGCGTACGCCCTCATACGTTTTTCGCTACTGTAGCACCGTATGACGTCACTTAGTGCCTTGAATTTGTAGGGAACGTTTTTGGACGACTAGCACACAGTTCCACAAACATAGCATCGTATCTCCGAAACTATTAATCGCAGACATGCTGTTACTTCTACATGATTCCTCAGATATTAATGGATTATTTTTTTATAAAATAAAAAAATCAACTAGCCTTATTACCTGCCTAGTTGACATTTATAGATGTACTCTTTGAAAATTTATATAAGATATGTATAAAACTATACAAGATAAAAAATAACCCCCAAATCATTGCCAACGAGTAAAGTGCCCAAAAGGCGACTAATTCTTTGGGCGAAGTTATACGTATATTAGCTAGTTATATACCATGGACTTTCAATATAAAACTTTTTATATAACAATTATAGATGGCGTCAATGTAGCTATACAAATATTATAATGTGGAAAGATTTGAATGCTTCTTCGCGTCGAATAGTCTACGAATTAACTAGATCGATTTTAAATTTTCTTTCACTTATGGGAAGCAACATCATACGCGGATGGCATAGGCTATAGTTAACGCAGGCGAAGTCGTGGATACTATTAGTATATTTTTGGTGTATTTCACACATTAAGGATACCACTTGTGCTCGATGGACGCTTGGACGTTTAATATATTTATAAGTTTGAAAATTTTAATTTACTTTGTCTTTGTAAAGTTTGTTTATGCTTGTCTTGTAGCAAAGATATCATAACGAATTCGCCGCACGTGCACAGCATAAAATCACCGGGCAGGTCAACGAACGTTAATGAGACTTAATGACGTCATTAGTGTAGTACCAACACTCCACTAGGCAATCGTGTATAAATACGACAGAGCTCGGTCTGTCTGCATGCATTTTGTTCATGCATTTTAGGAACCGTTATATGCAATCGGTTTGACTGTTATCTGTCAGATAGCCATTAGTTTAAAGTACATGGTAATAAAGTAAGTGGCACATGTGATTATATAATATTTATTGATGATGTTAGGTTTATAAACAACAGGATATCGCCTAGGGAGGGGCATACTAAAGTGGTCGAAAATTTACTAATAATCCTCGTAAATTATGTTTCAAAAAACACCAATTACAATTTTGTCGTAAATTATTTGTGTTTGGTTATCATCAATAACTTTTACAGTAACTTTACATATTTAACAAAATTTTATTTTTGTGCTGTTAAGAGCTCTTAAAGCCTTGAGAGTATTCATTGACGTTGGAACTGTTTTTGTTACAATGCACTTGACTGTACCAATAATTGTCATTTTCCATAATATTGCCCCCCCCCCACTATTAGCTGACGCCCTTGTTTATATATAAAATATAATATATTCAACTACCCTAATATATAATTTGCAGGTACTTACCGTCGCCTTGAACCGATGTAATGTGCTTCCCGTCTAGGAACAAGTCTATATTCGATAGGTACGGTGAAGGCCCCCGATCCACTACCACTTCATTGAGCACCAGTATGGTAGTTGGCTTCTTCTTGTCTTTGCCGTTGTCGTTGCTTTTTCTTAATACTACGCATTGTAATCTAGACCTTAACGTCAACGCTGCATGACCTAAAATTAATAGAAAATAATATTTATTACACGACTGCTATGTATATTTAACAAATATTGCGCTATATAAATTAAAATTTATTGTGATATAAGATTACCTTCTAAAACGTTCATGACTTGGTCCTGGAAGTTATTGAACTCGAATGGTGTGAGGAAACCCAATGAACCTAAATGGAATGCCATTACTGGAGGGACTGATTGCTGAAATTGAAAAAAAAACAGTATTGATGTTAATAAAATTAGAAATTAATATATTTTAAAAAGCATAATTGAAAAAAATATTTATATAAATATTTTTTAAATATTTATATAAATATTTTTTAAATATTTATATAAATATTTTTTAAATATTAATATAAATATTTATATAAATATTTTTTTTATATAGACTATTATTTTATCTTTAATTTAATAGACAAAGGATGAGAGTAAGTTTAGGATTGCTATTCCCGTAATAAAACATCTCGAACTCAACGTTTAATCAATTAGAACCTACTTCGAAATGGAATAAAGATCTTATTCCATTTCGTGACGGTAACCCCCAGGATTTCTTTATCGCTGAAATAGTTTTTTGCTTGGGAATTTTGCATAAATTATGATTTGGATAAAATAGAGTTTGTCTGTTCATCTAAGTTTATAATGTAACTAAATATAAACACATATAATACCTGGAATAGTGAACTGGCGTGCAACAAGGTGCCGTCACCGCCCAGACAGATGATGAAGTCGATCTTGTCGGTGAGATCGTCTGTACCGGCGCGAAACGTCATAAGCCTCTCCCTTACTACCACGAAACTTTCATACTCTTTCAGTAGGACGTCATCCAGCACCGCCGCTTCTACAAACACGACCATACTTTTGTCCTAGAAATCAAAAAATCTAATTAATTATCTTTTTTAATTTTATCATAATACAAAAGAGGGTGATTTGGGCATAGAACCTCCTTCCTTATTTTGGAGGATTATTTGGCGCCCAGTGTGCTGGAATTAGGAGATGTCAACAGTCAAATACTAACGTCAAAAACGGCGCAATTTGACACAAGACGGAAAGTTCTCACACAAAAAAAAGGTTTTAAGGAGCCTCGCGACTTGCAAGGTGAGCCTTACTAAGGCTCTGATTTATCTGACTGCTTATAAAGTGATATTTCCAGAGCTAGAAATATCCTTTCATTATTTTACTTCAATATACATAGTAAAATTGCTTGTCGATTTATTTACGTCATTGTTACTTTTGCTTCCGTTCCGATTACATGTAGGTCGGAAATAAAAAATACTAATGGCGTGTGTAATAACTCCAAGATTGCCAATTGTTGATTGTTGAACGTTCATCATTTTTACCTGACTGCGCGACGCAAAGGAGGGTAATGTGTTTATCAGTCTATGTATGTATGTTTGTTTCTATGTGGCGTTCTAGAGACCAAATGCGTAGGCCGATTTTGATGATTCTTACGTCAATCGATTCGTCTTAACCTTGCGAGTGTCACTAAAGACATGACAGTAATCAAAATTCACCACAGCGACAACCAGACGCCATATTGTCAAAATGAAAAAAATAAAAATCGATGAACTATGTCAAGTGGGGTGTCGTTGAATAGATATTTGAAAATTATCTTTAGTTTCCTTTTATCATTTTTCTTTTTAAATAATAGTTTAGGATATATAACGATTTAAAGTTGTTTAACAAAACATTATCGGTAATTTTCTTACTTATTGATTTGTTTTTATTTAAAGTATAAACTATATGCAAACAAACAAAAAAACAGTGAAAAAGCATGAAGAACAAATATTTTTGGTAAAAAAATAAAGCATTTGTAGCTTTGAGCCGAGTTAGGTCTCTAGAGGGACTGATCATCAGTAGTTTAGACCACCGCAAGTTACTTAATAATCCACACGATATTAAATCCCTCAATGAAATGATTAGATTGCGATATTTGCCATCTTATAAGTCAACGAATTGTAACTAAAAAGTATAAAATAAAAATAAATAATTTAAAGAAAAACAAAAAACCCGACTGCGTAAAAACGTTAAAAAATAGATGAAAAAATTAATTTAAATAAAAACTTAAAAGAAGATTTGATTTGAATGGGCCCCGACTGTGAATCGTTCTGTTCTGTATTACTTAACAGAATTCTAAACTACTGGGCATGTTTCTTTCTTTTAAGTTTTTATTTAAATTAATTTTTTTATATATTTATTAAAATTCGTTTTTACGCAGTCGGGTTTTTTGTTTTTCTTTAAATTATTTATTTAGAAGAAAATAACAGAAATGGCGGTAAATTATCAAAATCGACGAATAGAAGTGTTGTTTTTCTTAAACTCCTGCTGTCATACGCGTAAATAAAAATTAAAAAAATAAGCTGGAAGCGACCTCTTAACTGCCTAATAACTAATCAATAGATGTGACGTAAAACGTGACCCTGCATGTATGTTTTAAGCATGCTTAGTGGTAGAAACTGATCCTAGATTAGCCGATCCTTATGTATCGATTTCTTCGTCAATGGGATACTTGAGAAACTTGTATGGCGACGTATAGCCTCGATTATTCATATGTTTAGGTACGTTACAATAGTGTCTCGATGGAGTTTCAATTAATTGTCTTTTCATATTATGTGATAGTGGTGAACACTATATAAATAATTAGCGAAATTTTGGGTATCCACTTCGTATCAAACATAAATCACTGAGTATAAATTAAAGGGCCACAAACCGAAATTGGTCAAAATCACTTTAATAAAAAAACATATTTATAATAAAGAGATCAATTTCAACTGTTTCTGGAAAATAAAAAACGAGGGTGTCTTCCGGTATATGTCTTTTTAATATAAGTAACTTTGATAAACTGTGATATTTTAGTTTGTAAACAGAGCAATGTCAAAGTTTTCTATAGAAATTCTTAGTTTTCTTTCCGGCGTTGTGAAAATATCAATCCAATAACTTGCCATTTGATAGTGGTGAGAGTAACCTTCAATAACTTACTTGCACGAGCCAGTGAACGAGTTGCACGAAGGGTGTTAGGATTGTGGCGTCGTGCACCTTCTTGATGACCAGCACCGTTAGCGGGGGCTTGTACCAAGTCAACCGCTGCGACGCCGGGTCCTGGATTTGCCTGGAACAAAGACTCCATAGTGGAAATCGAAACCAAAACCTAAAAAACTTGACAGATGGAAATAAATTTTTGTTTTCATGTTATTGATCGCTTTAAAACATCCGGAAAATATTTAAAAAAAAACCTCTCGAATGTAAAGTCAAAGACGTCATTGATTTTAACAAACAATACGTATAAAAAAAATAGAAGTTGTTATAATAGTATAATAAGCCATAGAATACATAGAAAACACGCTAAATCTCGCATATATTTTTTAGTGTTTCAATGCTCACTGAGAGCAAAGTGCAAAGAACTGTCTGACGAGTTGTCACGTGAGTCGCTAACTTATACGTCCGTTTATTTTTACAAATTTTAAATTATACGGAATATTTATTTATGTCACAATTTGACGTACGTTACAAAATTCTTGTTTTCATTAATAAGTAAGTGTGAATTCATGAAATGAAATTTTTCATGAAATGAAGACTTCTGAAATTTAATTTTGACAGTTTTAGATTGTAATAATTCAGTGTTTTTTATTAAATTTTGCTGACCCACGCCTTAGGAGGTTTAAATTTATAGATGACCCCTTGCTTCAAAAAATTCGTTTCGAAACATTGGAATAAGCAAGAAATTGAGTAAGGGCTATTTTTGCTCGCTGTTACAAAGTTTATTTTGAAATTATTTTGGGGAAATTTTCCTAAAATTAGTTTATCACAGACAGAAAAAAATATCCTTACATTGACAGACAATTACAATAGGCAAAAAGAAGTGCATTGCTGTCTTAAATTGTGTTGGGCAAATATTTTTGTCTTAACTTTTCTTACTAATTTTGATTTTAAGGTGTTAGAATAAATTGGAATTATTAGAATTGTTACTTACATGACCATGGCCGAATTCTTCATTATTCTGCCGCATGGTCCAAACTGCTGAATAGGCGATGGGGCGTTTAAGGATCTGGTCCTCCTGAAACCAAATGAAAATGAACTTGATTTATGCAAATTATTTAGTCCCTAGCTAGACGATAACATCATTGAAAACAACGACAAATCACGTTGCGCTTTGAATAATTAGCACTAAAGGAAACAAGGCCGAAAAACAACCCATTATATGTATGTGTAAATAATAACATGATATTTACGTATTATTAGGAGTCTTAATAAAATACACTTATTAATTTACCCTTAACGCTCAACTTTTGGATCACGACATAACATAAAATGGCGTTCGTCCAGTAGCTTCTATAATATACTGCTCTGAGGGGCGTCGATGCTTTGAAATTCATTACTACATACATTAAAATACGGGATGATATAAAATGGATTATTACAAATTCACTAAATAACATTATATTTATATATTACGAATATATATCATTCTAGTATGTATTTTTGTGTGCTTTCTAAAATAGAAAGATGGTATATAACTAACTGATCGTCTATGAGATTCTGCCACGTCAACTCCGGCCTTATTACCATAAAACCTAGGCTGTTTATTCAAAACAATGGTCATACATAACAAAGATTTGTCAAATCTTCATGAATGTGAGAAACGTAGAGGACTAATCAGTACCTATGTTTGCTGGGAATATAATTCAGACTAACTGCTGTACTAGAGACGTCAATTAACAATATGTAACTATCTATATCTTCTCGCCGTATCCCTTGGGGGATAAGCAGAGGACCGAACGCCACAAACATATGTAAAGAAAACCATAGTGTCATTGCTTTTCTTAATGGTTCTTATTTTTTATCTATAATCTAAATCTATTATCTATGGATGTCATGTTTGACATTTACTTATAATTAACAAAGTTAATTTAAAAGATAGTTAATAATAATAATAATAATAATAATAACACTTTATTGTCAACACAACAGATATCTTCACAGATTTTACAAACTAAACAATACATCAAAGTGTAACAAATGGCGGTCTTATCGCTGAAAGCGATTTCTGCCAGACAACCATTGGATGGATAGGAATGTTAATTATAACGAAACGGGGGTGTAAACTTAAAGTAGGTAATTCCAAATAAATCATTGAAACATAACAATAATAGACACCAGAAGTTGACAAATATAATATACTTGCATAAATACATATAACATAATACATAAATATATAAAATATGATACATATAAATACTAATGAATTGAAGAAGGGGTTATTAGCAGTTAAAATATATTAAACAGATAAATAGTGTTCTTTTACCAATTCTTTGAAAATATTTAATGATTGAGCGCGTCTTATGGAAGTCGGAAGAGCATTCCAAAGACGCACAGCATGGACAGTGAAAGAGCCATCATAAAAAGTAGTTGTATGGAGAGGGGTTTCAAGTTTCGGGTTTTCCGATGACCTCAAGGAAAATGAAGTACAGCAGTATAGCGGATTGAAGCGTTCTTTCAAATAGCGCGGATAAAGGGGGTTAAACAAAATATTGTAAAGGAGGGATAATATATGAGCATTCCGGCGAAGACGAATTGGAAGCCACTTGAGCTGAGTACGAAATTGAGATATATGATCATATTTGCGCAATCCAAATATAAACCGAATACAGAAGTTTTGGAGCCGCTCAAGTTTATTAAGCTGGTCTTCCGTAAGATCGAGATAACAGACATCGGCGTAATCAAGAATTGGAAGCAACAAAGATTGTGCTAGAGCAAGTTTAGTGGCAGTCGGCAAAAAGTTACGCAACCTTAATTATAAATTTAAATAGCAGTGCAAGAAATACCTGAAATAAAGGCTTTAAATGTTGTTTTTTTGTCTTTACAGAAAAACACATTACCTTTATTTCACTCATCAGAGTGTGGTGATATTATTATATATATAAATATAATGTTGATTAATTCTCTTCATTCATAAGATGTCTTAGTTACTTTGTTTTTCTCAAGTTATATATAGTCTCTTGAGTAAAGTAGTACGTATAATTGTAAACAGGCATAACAAACACTTAGGTCGTATGCTATCTTGTAATCGTATATCATAATAACAGTAGTGAGCGATCCTTAGAATAAAGTGACGTACGACAATAGCTATTCTCTGAACATCACCATATCACTATATCAAATAAAAAATATCATACTACTAGCTTTCGCCAGCGGCTTCGCCCGCGTGGACCCTAGGGAAATGTTAAGTGGGATAAAAAGTATCCTATTATGTATCTAAGTCAGTTAATCCTATCTGTATACCAAATTTCATCAAAATCCGTTCTGTAGTTTCGGCGTGATTAACGTACAAACATCCAAACATCTAAACATCCAAACAAAGAAACTTTCACATTTATAATATTAATAGGAAAAATAGGATGTCATTATTAATAATTATGATGCGATTTCCCGGTAAACTAGGCATTCAGTTTCGACATTGATAGCGTCGTGAAATAGCAATCGCAAAGCCCATTTTACTGAGCTGTCAGATCACCAGGAAACTAAAGAATGTCGATAGCATGACAGTTGAATCTGGTACGCGACTGACGAAAAGCAATATTTTTTTAACGTTAAATACGATCGCTGTGAGTAAGCGATCGAATTTAAATTGTCATTTAAAACTTAGCAATATAAACATTATTATCTGAATTGAAAAGTAGATCAACCTGTAAGTTAAGTTATACGATTGAAAATATTCTAGAACTTTATACTGACATTAATGACCTTGCAAATGAGCTGTACGACCTAACACTTTAAATCAACAAAAAAAACACACCTAATGTGTTTTGCTTTTTGTTTAGTTATAATTAAGCACGTCTCATTAATTAGAAGAAGTATATTTTAGATTCAGATAAAAAAAGTGTCAGATATCAATTGAAAAAAAAAAAATAGTTTCTCGTGAATGTGTTCAAAGAATTGTCATTTTTTATTTTCAGTGAACACTGAATTCAGACATGATTTAAATTCCGCCATATATAAATTAATATAAAAAAAGTATGGAAGCTACTCATATCATCCGTGGCTGTCATAAGCCTATAATTAAATAGATGTTTGGATGTTCGTCGGTCAATCACGCCGAAACTACTGAACGGATTTTAATTAAATTTGGTATACAGACTTAGATAATAGGCTAGTAGCTAGCTAGTGACTTAGATAATAGGATACTTTTTATCCCACTTAACATTTCCCTAGGGTCCACGCGGGCGAAGCCGCTGGCGAAAGCTAGTTTATAATATTTATTGACCAGTTTAATAATTGAAAGTAATGGTGTAATATATATTTTATTATACATACACACATTACCCTAAACACAATACTCTCTCTTTTGAACTGTCGTGTGAGAGTTCGACTTCTGTGCAGTGTTCCTAGCAGTATCAAAATTAAAAAAGGAACCATCGGTTTTTTATTACTTTCTACTTCTACGGGTATTCCAAAATATGTCAATCATAAACGTTTTGATAATTATTCCTATACTTCTTCAATATTTTTACTTTTTGTTTTCAATCACACATATTTGTTTTAATGAATTACCAATGTCCAGCGTTATCAATATCGTCTGCCTTATTATTATCTATTCATATTTTATTTCGTGTCCGTTATCTTATCAATGGCTTAGATAGCAACTATTGAATATATCATGTCTAGTTTACTTAGAGACGGTATACGAAAATATGATAATGTTTATAAACATGCCTGTACTATTTTATTTATCTTATAGTGCTTTAGTAAAGTTTTAGTGTGTGCTTGGGATCTGGGGTGCTACCCGCCTTGACTCAGCCATATGATACGACATTTAGCGGTGTTATGGCAACATTTCGTTTTATTTTACTGGTTTTCTGGAGGGATAAACTAATTTGGGTTTTTTCAATGCTAATCCGTAGTTCTATAAAAATATAATGCGTTTATTTCTGTATCTAAATAATTTTGAAAGCGCCGTTTCACAGGACTACATCAAAATTTGTCAGAATTGGTAGGATGATATCATTATTCAGAGGACTAGTTGACGTAGATGAAATAAAAACTAACACGATAAAGGATTTAACGAAGTTAACCCTTTCGAGTTATATAAAAGGTATACATATCTACTTTAAAGAAGTTTATTTTTCTATAATATTATTACTAGTGGTAGCGCAACGGTCAAAGTCGACCATAAAGTTCAAACATTAATTAAGTTTTATTATCACTGAATTTTCATTCAGTGAAGTGATAACTTGATAATAAAAATAAAATTTCATTTAGTAAACAAATTTGTCAAGCCATTGGAGGTGTTTTTTTTGTTTAAATTAATAAATATATTTAAAGTATTTTTTAAGAAATTTGCGGCGAACGACGAACCAGAAACGCTTGTATTAAAAAAAAGCATTATTAAAAAACAGATTTGATAACTAAAAGTTGAATATTATAATTGATCACTTTGGATGTTTCTAACGTATATCAGATTGCAGTTCTAGTGGTACTCCGAAGAACATATCCATCAAGGAATACTAACATTCGAAAAAATCAAAAGAACTTTCAAATAAATCGTCAACACGATCGATATTGCATTGTTGATGTTTTTAATTTTTGATTTTTTTCTTCCTATTCTATCTAAGACAGAATCGTGTGCAGACGTGGCACTTAAGGTGTGATCCATCGAGCATATGTAAACTTTTTATAGTTTTAAAAAGTTTTTATATAAGGAATATATTCGATGTAACAGGGCAACAGCAACAGAACAAAAAGAACATATAGTATGTAATTGGGTACCTAGTGGGAAACAAAATATTAATGAGCATGTATGTACCTAATACTTAAGGACGCTAAATATTCTAGAATAGGAGATAACCATAAAATGGCACCATGGCGGATCTTAAATTACTAATCATGGGTTTCCCATTCTGTATTTGTAAAGCGTCCTACAGCCAGCATGATTATTCAGCATTTTTAAGTATTGTGTCGTTGGATTTAGTTAGTGATAGTTTAAATTTTTTGAGAAATTATTTTTGCATAATTTAATAATTAATAGAATTTAGTGCTGTTTACGGTGTAGAACAGGAA